CAATCAAAGCATGGAACTGCATGTTTTTAATAGGGACTGATCTGACATTCAGTAGTAGCAGCACCAGACCAGAGGGCTCAGTAGATCTGCTACTAGTGCCTCTGGTGGTGTAAGAGGGCTGGAAGAAGGAACAGAAACCAAACACCTAGGTCTCCACTCCCGATGGTGGCCAGCCCCCACTTCCCTCCAACCATGCTCTCCCCTACCCACCTAGCTACTTTCCTCCTACTACCTCTCATTCAGAGGGGGAACTCCACCAAACCAAAGTTCCCTTTCAACCAGCCTCTCACTCTGGTTGAGGGTCACAAGGCTGCCTCATGAAATGCCTGGTCTGCAAGTCTGTAGCCTGAATTGTAGCTGCCACAGCTGCAGCCAGACCCACAGCTGCAGCCACGGCTTGGAGCAGGACTCTGAGAGGAGCTGCCATACCCTCTCCAACCCCAACTCACAGGATCTTGGACGGAACCCATTTCTTAGGCTACTCAGCTGAAGGAAGAGCTCATTTTGAAAGACCTCAAGTATATTGAGAACATTCAATAGAAAAATAGTCCATGGCCACTAGGTGCCTAGATTATATGTGAACCACTGGGCGGAAATAGCCAACTTTCTTAAATGCTGTGATTTTCCCATGTTGGTCTGCCATAGTCAAACAAAAAAAAATTCCTTCCAGTAGCACCTTAAAGACCAACTAAGTTAGTTCTTGGTATGAGCTTTCGTGTGCATGCACACTTCTTCAGATACCAGTTTTTCCTGTCATTCCAGTTACACCGTTTCCTGAGTGATTTTCAGTTCTACAATGCTTCTATGGGTGGAGCATATTTAGATGAGAATGGGGACCTGACAGCTGAATTTGACCTGGTGAACATTGTGATGCTTGCCAATGACTCCCTTCACGTAGGGAAAGTTGGGAGTGTGGAGAGAGAGGGATCCGCAGACGTAAAAGTCACCATTGATCAGGATGCCATCGTGTGGCCCCTTTGGTTTAATAAGGTGGGTTAAATCATTCAGATACATTTGATTATGATCCAAAAAAGAAAACAGAGGATTTTGGATTGAAACGGATTTCAGTTTTGTAGGAAGAGTCATCCCTACTTCAACTCCCATGGGCATATTTATGAAAGTAATATTTTTTGCCTCAACTTGCATCACTTCATACATGTTTGCTTTGAATTACATTTCCCAATTTACTGCTCAGTCACTCAGGTTTGGAGAGGTTCTGTTGGAGGTCTTCACAATCTATTTTTGTTTAAAATTCCCTAAACAATTTAGTAAAGTTAAAGCCAGTTTAATCCAGTCGAATCCAACTATGGGGTGTGCCACTCATCTCTGCTTTCAAGCTGAGGGAGCCCGTATTTGTCTGTAGACAGCTTTTTTCGGGTCATGTGGCCAGCATGACTAAACTGCTTCTGGTGCAAGTGGACACTGTGACGAGTGCCAGAATGCAAGGAAAAGCTGTTTACCTTCCCACAGCAGCAGTACCTAATTATCTACTTGCACAAGTAAGCTTCAGAACTGCAAGGTTGGCAGGAGCTGGGACTATAGGGTCCACTATTATTGCCTAGATGAACATACCAGTAACACCTGACCATCTTTCTTTATGGGCAGACCATTCCTCATTCCAGATGTGCTGAGAGCTGTCATATTGGGGATGTCAAGGTCATCCGGGAAGGAGAGCCACTTTGCTGCTATGATTGTGCTCCCTGTGTAAATGGGACAGTCTCCACTGTGGAAGGCAAGTGAGAGAAGTACGGCTTTGAAGGAATAGGGAAACTTCTCTGTGTGTGTTTTAAAAATCATTTTTATTTATTTTCCAATAAAAACAGCCAATCAACATATCCGCAGCATAATCCAATTAAAAACAAGAAACTAAAAAAAAGACCAAATTATAGTCCAAATTGCAATTATTAATTTTTCCGGGTTCCCCATAGTCTGGACCTCTGAAGCATATCTCCAAATCTTCAGTCTTGCCTCTTCTCATTGTTTTCATATTTTCGCCTTCTGGTTTTAATGCTTTAAAGTTCTCCGCCCCTGGCTATGCAATTCTCTGTCATGTCAAAAGTCATATGTCCTTTCATTCATCAAATACAGCTTTATTTGTAAATATATATTTTTTCCAACTATTTACCAGCACAGCTTTTCCTGACTTCATTCCAATCTTCCAATCTGGGCTGTTGTCCAAGTTTATCATTTGAAGTTTAATGATGCAGCAACTCCCAAGTTGTTAAATCACTCCAATCCGGGCTGTTGTCCAAACCTTTCTTTTGAGATTTAGTGACGCAGTGCCTTCCACGTTGTCGAGTTGTTACTATAGATTGTTGGGGAGACTGTTTGCAATATTGCAATGTAAATGAATTGTGTTCCTCAGATATAAGTCATTTGGCGATCGATCAGCCTTCTCAGAGACCACACAATCTCCCCCTTCCGGGCCCTAGAGGGGGAGCTGCTAGACATCCTTTCAGCCTTCTCTCTCTCTCTCATAATGAAAAACTTATGCAAACAGCTGCCTATATGTTATCCCAAATTGTTATTTCAAGATATTACAAAGTCAGCCAGCAAATATTTCCTACTCCCCATCTTGTTTCTTCTTTTATGTTTATCAAGTCTTTCAAGTCTGAGTAAAGCTGCACAGTTGAATACCGTATTTTTCGCTCTATAAGACGCACCAGACCACAAGACGCACCTAGTTTTTGGAGGAGGAAAACAAGAAAAAATATATTCTGAATCTCAGAAGCCAGGACAGCAAGAGGAACCGCTGCGCAGTGAAAGCAGCAATCCCTCTTGCTCTTCTGGCTTCTGGGATAGCTGCGCAGCCTGCATTCGCTCCATAACACACACACACATTTCCCCTTACTTTTTAGGAGGGGAAAAGTGAGTCTTATAGAGCAAAAAATATGGTACTTAATTATAAATAGAAGCTCATCTGTACTCTTTTTTTAAAAAAAAAAATATAGGTTTCTTAATGAGGCTTGGCATAGAAAACCAATTGTAGATGTTAAGAAGAGAAAAAAGACATGCCAAATACCTCCATAATCCAAACGCCATGATGAGAATCTCTTTGAAGCCCGAGCTTAAACACCAGGGACTGTACAGTTCTGCAGGTTTTTTCTTAATCTTCTTCGGTCCAGACTATGTCTGTTCATTGTCCAAATCCAATTATTTTATCAAACAGATATTTCCGGCTATGAGAGTGACATCGGAGAACGCCAACCGTGTCGTGCTCTGGGACCCAGCTTCCTGTCGCTTGCACCTTGATGCAAACTGACAATCTCGGACAATCTGTGGGTCTACGAGACAGTCCTCCCCCACCCTGGGGAGTCTGCCAGGGCTAATTACCCCCCTATCAGCCCTGAATTACCGGCATGGCTGGGATTCGATCGTATGGGAGTCAGCCATTTCTCACTGCCGGAAACAGGAAGCGAGGGACAACTTTTGTGATCCTGTCCAACACAATGCTATTTATTTATTTTATCCCCGCCCCCACCCCCATAAAAAATGACCTTTACCCAAAGTTGGCATATCTGATGGGTAGGATATAAATAAATCATCATCATCATCATCATCATCATGTGTAGTGATGACAGACTCCCTGTAGTTTGATTTTGAATTGGGTTTTCTCTTAGAATCTTTAGAAATAGGACATCTGGTTTCTCTGAAAGTTCTCTTCTGGTGACCCATGTGGGACCCATGCTTTCTTCCTAGGAAACAGTATGTGTTTTCTCCTGCTTGGTGCACACCCTGTTCCACCAGCCTTGCCAGAGGCTTTCCTGGAAAACTTCAGAGGTGTCTGCTTCTGCTGGTTGAAAGGCTGTAGTTCAGTAGCACAGGATTTGATTTGCATGCAAAAGGTTGCCAATTCAAGTCATAGTATCTTCAGGTCAGGGCTGGGAATGTCCCTTGCTTGAGACCCTGGGTGCTCAAATGACTCATCTTACTTTCAGATGCAGACCACTGCACCAAATGTCTGGAAGATCAGCACTCAAACAAGGACCGAGATCAATGTGTTCCCAAGATTATCACTTTCCTGTCCTATGAAGACTATTTGGGGATTCTCTTGTCTTCCTTTACCTTGTTATTCTCCTTAATCACATGCTTGGTGTTAGGAATTTTTATTAAATACTCAGGAACTCCCATAGTCAAAGCCAACAACAGGGACCTTTCCTACATCCTCCTTGTATCCCTCTTGCTCTCATTTTTGTCCTCCGTGCTCTTCATTGGCCAGCCAAGAAAAGCCACCTGTCTTCTCCAACAAATTGCATTTGTCCTCATCTTCTCAGTTGCTGTCTCTTCTTTGTTGGCCAAAACCATTACCGTTGTGCTGGCTTTTCTGGCCACAAAGCCAGGGAACAGGGTGAAGAAATGGCTGGGGAAGACTCTGGCCAATGCTGTTGTCCTTTCATGTTCCAGTGTCCAAGTTGTCATCTGCATCACCTGGCTGGGGACTTCTCCCCATTCCCAGACTCCGACATGCACTCCCAACCTGCAGAGATTATCCTGCAATGTAATGTAGGGTCTGCTGCCATGTTTTATGGTGCCCTTGGCTACATGGGCTTCCTGGCTGCCATCTGCTTCATGGTGGCTTTCCTAGCCAGGAATCTGCCTGGGGCCTTCAATGAAGCCAAGCTGATCACCTTCAGCATGCTGGTCTTCTGCAGTGTTTGGGTGTCCTTTGTGCCCACCTATCTGAGCACCAAGGGGAAATACATGGTAGCCGTGCAGATCTTCTCTATGTTGGCCTCCAGTGCTGGGCTTCTGGGCTGCATCTTCATTCCCAAGTGCTACATTATTTTACTCAGGCCTGGTCTGAATACAAAGGAGCATCTGACGACAAAAAGCAAAGATGCCATTTGAATCTTTGTACATTCTTTCCCATTGTAGGGATCTGAGCAGAATGGCAATAACAAAATGCAGCAACTTGCAGGTATAAAATGTCAAAAAGCTGTGGAGTGATGAGGCCCAACATATGAGTCAAGAGAGGAGAGGAGGTGACGGGAGAGTTAGTTTAAATCAGTATTGATTTCAAAAGTTTAATACGTCCTGAACTGACCACCATAAGACACAGAAGTCAGTTTAGTGCTTAGAAGCTAACCTCCTCTTACTCAAATGACATTTCATTTTGATATCACGGCACTCCAGCAGGGTTTGCTCGAACAACCATCACTTTTAATTTCTTAACTATGGATCTTCCTCACTTCCCAAGGGCAAATGCAGGCAATTTTGCACAATTGGCAGGAAACCTTCACAGCTTAAGCCCCACTCAAATGAATGAGCTGTTTTCTTAATAATTACTGATTCAGTGGAGCTAGAACAACAGAAATTCCTAATGGACTGGGCTGCTTGTAAGCAGAGAGGCATCCAGCTTTCAGTTGGAAGTGCTTATTTCCCAGGAACTCAAATCCAAACAAGGTACTTCATAAATATTTATTCATCCAGTATATCTAATGTAAATATGATTGCTTATACTGCACTAAAACTTAATATCCTAAAAGAGTAAAGAAATCAGGTGTTGAAAAACTACAGAGAAGTGTTCGGTTTTTGACTAAACCCTTAAAAGTGTGCCCCTTGGAGCTTAAAAACAGATAAAATCTGGCTCACAACTCCTTCCACAGTCCCATAATTTCAGGCCTTTCACCTGCAGAGCAGTGTACTAAAAGGTAAAAGGTGTTTTTTTAACACTATTGACTTTGTAGATTATACGAGGCAGTCTCCAAGGTAAGTCAACTGTATCCTAAGACAAGTAAATAATAATCTCTTTCGGTACAAGCAGCTTTTCCACATTCACTACTTCCAAAGTTTGAGTAAGAAAGCCACTGATTAGGTTAAATTGGTTCCTTCACATCTTTCCAGCTTCCTTATTCACATGAACTTGAGCCCGAAGAATGTTAGGGGTTTCCTCCATAACTCTGACAAGCAAGTTATCTTCTTCTTCTCCCCCCCCCCAAAAAAAAATTTATTGGTTTTTACAATATTATCGACAAACACACAAAACAAACATAACTAACATAAATCATAACCTTATTAAAAATAACAGTTATTAACTTTGTAAAGCGACTTCCTCGTTTCCCCTTGGTTGAATTTCATTGCATAGCCTTATAACGGTTTTCCAAACCCCAATTTTTATAAACTATAACTTAGACATTAACATCTTTAAATCTTCTCCTTATAGTATTAAACATATTATTTTATCACTTAACATAAATACAATCCTAAGCCCATTAAATATCTGGAAGCTATTTCCGGCTAGTTTAACTTAACAAATTTAGCTAAATAATCATTAAATTTATTCCATTCTTCCTGATATTCCTCCTCCTTCTTGTCGCGGACTCTTCCGGTTAGGCCGGCTAGCTCCGAAAAATCCATTATCTTCATCTGCCATTCTTCTACTGTTGGTAGTTCTTGAGTTTTCCACTTTTTAGCTAACAAAATACGAGCCGCAGTTGTGGCATACAAAAATAATTTAACATCTTTCTTGGGCAATTCCAAACCTGTTATTCCAAGAAGAAAGGCCTCTGGTTTCTTTATAAATGTATATTTCAACATTTTTTTCAATTCATTATAAATCTTTTCCCAGAAGTCTTTCACCTTGGGACAGGTCCACCACATATGATAAAATGTTCCTTCCTTTTCTTTACATTTCCAACATATATTGTCACAATTATGATATATCTTTGCTAATTTTACAGGAGTTAAGTACCATCTATACATCATCTTCATTATATTTTCCTTTAACAAAGTACATGCGGTGAACTTGACCCCTTTCTTCCACAAACTTTCCCAGTCTTCAAACATTATATTATGTCCTAGATCTCTTGCCCAATCTATCATCACCGATTTAACTTGTTCATCTTTCGTATGCCACTCCAACAAAAGCTTATACATTTTAGATAAATTTTTACCTTCAGTATCCAACAACTCCGTCTCCAACTTAGATTTTTCCAAGGCAAAACCATTTTTCTTATCCAATTTATACAATTCATTAATCTGGTGATAATGTAGCCAATTTAGCTTATCTTTAATTTGCTCAAATGGTTTTAATTTATAACCTTCCTCTTCCTCTATTAATAAATCATAATATCTCAACCATTTGGTATCCATATTTAATTTTTTCTGGGCCTTTGCCTCCATTGGTGAAAGCCATCTGGGCGTCTTTCTTTCTAAAAGATCTTTGTATTTTATCCAAACATTATACAACGATTTCCTGATTATATGATTTTTAAAAGCTTTATGGGCCTTTACCTTATCATACCACAAATATGCATGCCAACCGAACACATTATCAAATCCCCCAAATCTAGTAAATCTGTATCTTCTAATTTCATCCATTCTTTAATCCAACAAAGTGCAGCAGCTTCAAAATAGATTTTTAAGAGAGAATCCCCCTCTTTCTTTAGAATCCATAAGTAATTTATATTTAATTCTGGGTTTCCTCCCCTGCCAGATAAATCTAGAAAGAGCTTTTTGCCATTCTTTAAAGCATTTCGCATTATCTATAATTGGGAGGGCTTGAAACAGAAAAAGCATCTTTGGCAGCACATTCATCTTAATCACAGGAATCCAGCCTATTAATGACAATTTTAAGTTAGACCATACCTCTAAATCTCTTTTAATTTCATTCCATAATTTCTCATAGTTATCCTTATATAGATTCAATTTTTTCCCCAGACAGGTTCACCCCCAAATATTTAACTTTTTTCACAAAATCTAGGCTCGTTTTTTCTTATAGTAGTTTCCTTTCTTCATTATCCAGATTTTTCTCAATTACTTTGGTCTTGCTCTTGTTTAATTTAAATCCTGCTACCTGACCAAACTCATATTAGCTCCAGTGCTTTAACTGCACTGGAATCTGGATCTTGTAATGTCAAAACTAAATCATCAGCAAAGGCTTTTAATTTATATTGTTTTGAACCTACTGTAATACCTTTAACTTGTTCATCTTTTCTGATCATACTTAGCAAGACCTCCAGAACCGAAATAAACAGCAGGGGGGATAGTGGGCACCCTTGCCTGGTTCCCTTCTCAATTCTAATTTCCTCTGAAACCACATTATTTACAATAATTTTAGCTTTTTGTTCTTGATAGATCGCTTTAATACCATTTAAGAAGTCATGACCAATCCCAATACTCTCTAAGTTATATAACATAAAACTCCAAGAAACATTGTCAAAGGCTTTCTCAGCATCAATAAACATTAACATTGCTTTACAACTCTTTCTTGCTTCTAACTTTTCCAAAATATCCACAACATTTTTAATATTGTCTTTCATATGTCTTCCAGGCAGAAATCCTGCCTGATCTTTATGAATATACTCAGATAAAACCTTCTTTAGCCTATTGGCCAGTATATTTGCAAAAATTTTATAATCCACATTAAGTAGGGAGATTGGTCTGTAGTTTTTAACATTGGATGTATCCTGACCCTGTTTAGGAATCAGAGTAATGTAAGCTTGTTTCCAGGTTTCAGGTGCTTTGTCCCCTCGTAAAATTGAATTAGATACTTCTAACAGAGGTTGAATAAGCCAATCTTTCAATGTCTTATTTGATTTCGCTGATAGACCATCAGGTCCTGGTGTCTTGCCAAGTTGCATTGAATTTATTGCGTGTTCCACTTCCTGACTTGTAATTAAGCCTTTTAGTAGATTCTTTTTATCCTTCAGAATCTGTTGCAGTCCATTATTCTTTATAAATTGCTCGATTTTCCCTAGATCTTCTTTATCTTTTTTATATAGTTGTTTATAATATTTATAAAAACATTTTCTAATGTCTGCAGGGTTCCCACAGATTTTCCTTCTGTAACAATGTTTGTGATAGTACTTTGTTTTTGTCTCTTCTTTAGTTGCCAGGCTAATAATTTCCCACATTTATTTGCAGATTCAAAATTTCTTTGTCTCATCCTTCTTATCTTCCATTCAATTTCTTGGTTTACTAACTGTGAATATTGAACCTGTAAGGCTTTAATTTCTTTTTGGATCTGCAAATTCTTTGGGTTTCCTCTAAGCTTCTTCTCTTTATCTTTCAGTTGTTCCATAATTTTGTCTTTTGTCTCATTCTGTGACTTTCTCCTAATTGCGTTTTGTTGTATCAGAAACCCTCTCATTACCACTTTGCTGGCCTCCCAAATCACCCTTATTTCCGTTCCTTGATTCATATTGAGTTCAAAATAGTCCTTTAGGGTTTTTTGGGCCTTATTGACAATTAGTGAGCTTCTGAACAGATCATCATTCATTCGCCATCTGAAGGAACCCTGAACAAACATTTTCAAGTCCATAGAAACTGCATTGTGGTCCGAGCAAGTTTTAGGGCAAATTTCCGTTTTTATTACTTTAGGAACCAAGTCTCTGGATATCCATAGATAGTCTATTCGCAAAAATACTTGATTTGCATCTGAAAAAAGTGAAGTCTCTTTCCATTGGATTCCTAATTCTCCATATATCTGACAGATCACATTTTTCAGTTAAGTCAAAGAAAGTCTTCAGTAGTCTGCCAGAGTTCGTAGCCTTTGATCTCTGAGTTCTATCCATCAAAGTAGATGCAACTCCATTCAAGTCCCCCATCAATATGATTTTGTAATCCATATATTCCAAGAGACTTGCTTCCAAGTTCTTAAAAAATTCTGCTTTGCCATCATTAGGTGTGTAGATTCCTAATAACAAATATTTCTCGCCTTGTGCTGAAATTTCAATTGCAATGTATCTTCCTTCCTCATCTTTGAAAGCAAATTTTGGATTCCATTTATCTTTAATGTAGAAAACCACTCCTCTTTTTTTAACTTTGTCAGAAGAAATGAATTCTTGGCCCAATCTTTTATTGTAGTCTTGTAATATGGGTTTCCTACTGACAAGCAAGTTATCAATGTAGTCTTCCAGCTCGCGCACCTGCTGATCTCGCTTTGCAATCACATCTTTCTGCTTCAAGACCAGCTGGATCAGCTCGCTGTGTGTCAGCTGACCATAAGCGCAGGCGGGATCTGAAGGATCATATTTCTTTAGGAAGGAAGAATGAACAGGTTAAAGTCATTTTGATATCAAGCACTGATGCAAGGATCAGAAGGAAGGTATAGAAACCTTTGGTTTCAGGGATTACTGGGGAATCCCAGGAATGATGTCAGAGCAAAGCATCTTAAAAGCTACTGAAGATTCACAAAAAACTAGAATTTCAGGATTTGCCAGTAAGTACTTTTATGGCATGCAGACAAATGTGCACACAAGGTTTCTGTACACCTGCCTTCAACTATTTCTTCCCAGTAATAAACATGGAAAAGTGAAGATAAGACCCTCCTCATAACATGCGAAAAGTACGAAATAAATACAAAGCAGCAGCAGTAGTGGTTGTTTCAGTTAAGTGATAATAATTCAGGTTCTGTGCTCAAACACCAAACAGATCATTTGCAATATTAGTTGGAGGCACTAAATCACTAAACCTTGCTTATCTGAAAACAAAAATCACTCTCAGGCTAAAGTCCTTTGGTGAAGATAGCAAATTTTGAGCCTGGGGAATTCATACCCACTCACAGATCTAAACTTGTGTCAGTAAAAAGCTCAGAAAATTGCCCAGATGAGTAGGATAGCAGGGGCAGGGGGAATCGTACACCTAGAAAACTTGAACACATTTCTGTCTCCAAACGACTATACCCCTTTGCAGTTTGTCTAATCCCGCCAATAAATTTAAAAGCTTCCTAACTCAGGGCACAGACCACCCAATTAGGTTTTAAAATATAGTATGTCTTAAATTACTTTTATATCGGCTTCATTTTGGTTATCCAAGATCTTTGATGTTATGCTCTGGTTTTTTGCAGGCAATCCTATAGTACTTTGTACCTGAACAATTTTGTGCAGTTCTCCTTTTGGTCTGAAGGGACGCGGGTGGCGCTGTGGGTTAAACCACAGAACCTAGGACTTGCCAATCAGAAGGTCGGCAGTTCAAATCCCCACGACAGGGTGAGCTCCCGGTGCTCGCTCCCTGCTCCTGCCAACCTAGCAGTTCGAAAGCACACAGTGTAAGTAGATAAATAGGTACCGTTCCGGCGGGAAGGTAAACAGCATTTCCGTGCGCTGCTCTGGTTTTGCCAGAAGCAGCTTAGTCATGCTGGCCACATGACCTGGAAGCTGTACGCCGGCTCCCTTGGCCAATAAAGTGAGATGAGTGCCGCAACCCCAGAGTCGGCCACAACTGGACCTAATGGTCAGGGGTCCCTTTACCTTTACCTTTACTTTTGGTCTTGCATGAAGCACCGCATGCACACATGTTCCTGCTTTGGCTTCTAAAAAGAATAAAGTACATTTTCCTCTTCTACGTACCTCTATTAGTGCAAGTTTAGATTTTATATTTACTGTTAAAACAGATTTATTCTGCCCTCCTCTCTACACTTCAAGACTGATTTAGAAGCTCTCAAATGAAAGGTTTTACTTACCTATTTATTTATATCCCTTCAAGGACCCTGAATACATGCCCCCCCCCAATTTTCCTCACTACCACCCTGTGAAGTAGGTTAGACATAGAGATAAGAGACTGGCCCATCACTGAGTGGAATCCTAGTCTGACACTCTTGATGGTTCTAAACATCTGTCCCCCCCCCCAATAAAATATGGTTGGTTCCTTGGATATTTGTGTAGTTACCCAGATGTTTAGCAAGTGTGAAAAATAGAGTTTTCAACAAAGTTGCAAAAGTTTGCCTTGGTTTCTTTTTTAGTTAAGTGCTGGTTCCAGTTTATGATACCTTTATTGTCATGTCACAACAATGTGAAAATAGAGTCTGATTACTGCCTAAGCAAAACAAACCTTTGCTCAGTTTTATTCCTTCATTGACATTGCTACAAGAAATAGATACAGATCAACAGGGAAAGATTTTCACCTGTCCATAGGACACAAAATCCCTTACTGCATTAAAAAGGGGGAGGGAAGAATCAAAGCCATGCACAGTATAGCACTTGAGCCTTTATCTTTGCTCCCCCCCCCCCAATTCCTCTCACCTGAGCTTAGCAGGATAAGTTCCGTCACTCTGCAGATTCTGATTGGGATGCGTTTCAGAGGGTGAAACGCATGCCTGGAGCAGCTTCTTCTTGCCAGAGGGATCCACTTTGGTACCCAAGCCCTCTGCTGTAGCTTTTTTCGTAGGTTCTGCTCTATTACAGCCAGAAGCATCAGATTGGAAAGAACTAATAGAGTGAGAAGAACTGGGCAGAGGGGAAAGATGAACAGGCTTAACAGGGAACTCAGGACTATCACCCTGTCTACTTTGACCCATTAACAATCTATCTTTACTTAATTCTTTATAACATTTCTGCTAAAGCCATATAACTTCATTCCACATGGCTTGCATTTTCAAGGGCTAGTGCTGAAGGTGCAACCAGTGGTTTGTTTAGTTCAAATCCATCATCAGGAGCACTAGTCTTCATGAGAAGCGATACAGTCTGCCTCTCACCAGTCTGCCTCTCTTATTTGCTGTCAGCTCTCCCCCCTCAATGGAGGACCGTAACTCTGAAGAACCATCTCCACTCCTGGACAAATCTCCAGAAACTGCAATCTTTTCAGTTGTTGTTTGTTGTTGTTGTTTAGTCGTTTAGTCATGTCCGACTCTTCGTGACCCCATGGACCAGAGCACGCCCGGCACTCCTGTCTTCCACTGCCTCCCGCAGTTTGGTCAGACTCATGTTTGGAGCTTCTTTTCAGTACCCTGGGGATAATCACTCAGCTGCTCATCATCCAATCCCACTTCTGGAATAACAGAAAGGGTGGTGGGTTTTACATTCAGATCTCCAGGGATCAAATTGCCAGGATCTATCTGTTTAGTTAAACCTTCCTTTTGGGGTTTCTCTGAAGGCACAAGATGAACGTGCTTGGAATCATCACGGTTCCCTGCTAAGGAGGAAGTAGAGAAAGATGCTGGAGGAATGTTAAAAACTTCCAGAGTCCTCTCCCACTTTAGACACGGGAGGATTATCAATATCAGAAAGCTGAAAAGCAGAAGGCTGCAACTCAAGAACAGAAGTTGCAGGAACAGGCAGGGGAGACTTAGCAGAGTTTGAAGAATCCTCTATCTGGGATTCTTGTTCCCTTTTAGGTTTATTTTCATTCCCAGAAGCAGAAGAAGTAGCTATAAAGCATTCAGTATCTTGCTTGGATTCCTGTCCCCATTTTGTAGTGAACGGATTGTTGTCGCTAGCAAACCTATCAGTGTCCCGAGGTTGCTCTTCTGGATCAAATTTAGAGATAAAAGGGTTGTTTTTATTAGAGTGATAGGGAGGAGAGAAAAGGGAAGCAGAAGGAGGTGCAGAAATAGCAGAAGTGGCTTTGGTTTCATTCTCTGAAGACGCGCCCAGTCTGTAAAAAGGGACAAAATAAAACCTGCATGTCAGTTGCAGATGCAACGTAAGACAGGCATAAACATTTTGAAGACAAGTTTAACAAGGTTGCTGCATGTTAAGTGAATAGGAAAGGTGTAGGGTTTTAGCAAATGTTATGGAAATTATGGGGGGGGCACATCTTTAAAGTTAAATATTACAAATATTATGCCTGAATGTATCCTTTCAACTTGACAGTTCAGGGAAGTTACCTAGCTTTAAAAATAATATAAAATCATCTCCTTTCCCAGTTTCCTCCATTCCAAAGCTATTTTCCCCTTGAAAAGGGACTCCAGGAAGTTCCCAGAGGTGACAATTGCTGGACTCCTTGTTAGCCAAAGGAAGCCAAATCTCATCACCTGACTCGCCTCAGGCTCCAGACATGCAAAGGAACTTCTATTGTACTTTTGGGTGGTGGGTACTTAAGACATATTTGTCTATGCTAATCTTATACCTGAGTCTTGCCCTGCCATGTCTGCTTATGCTAATCGTGTACCAAGGACTTGTCTGGACATGTTTGCCAAGGTTGAACTAGTGTAACCCCTGTCTACCCCTCCCCTTTTGTGACATGTCAGTGATGTAGCAATGATGCTGTATGAACTGTATTCTGGGATGTGGTGGGAAAGTTTCAAAAGTCTTTGTCACCCCATCCTCGGGGTTCAAATTTGCTCTTTGAACCTATTGTGCAATAAACTTTGGTCTACAGCTATTTGCTCTGGTTGGCTGGACTCCTTCCTTTATTCTGCAGGGACCCACGGGCTCTGCCCGACCAGCTGGGGGACTGAGCAGCCTCACACCTAGATTTTTCCATAACAGCAAACCACCCCCTTCATATTATAATTTACCTTTTAACAGCAGCAAATGCTTATAAAAGAAAACAACACGTTGCCTGAATGAAAGTATTTTGTACATTAAAAAAAATCTATCAGTAACATCTCTTTTCAATAGAACACCTTTTTAATCCCAATTACATAGTATTAGTAGTACAGTGAAATATACAAAGCACCAAGCATACGGGAGACAGGCAGGAAAAAGAGTGGGGCCTCTGTGACACACCGCTTCCATGCAAAAGCAACGTTTTATCCATAGGTTGCATTCCACCAAGTCATAAAAATCGCATTTTAGATTGCGAACGTTTTTCGCCCCCCCACAGCCAGAAAGATTCCTGCTCCAGTTTGTCTATCTCCTCCTTAAAATCCAGCAACTGGAACTGGACAAAGTACTGAACCCGACTAATCCTACACTGACCACAACACTCTGGCGCATTTCCTCTCTCTCCTTCGAAGTTAAAGCATACCCTTATCCGCATTCCTTCAGAAGTCCTGCTATGACTCCCTAAATAAAGAAGGAGCGAAAATCAGATGCAACGGGTCATATTTAGGAGCGCCTGGCACCAGCCCCCTCTCCCTCCCTCCGGGCACGTGCCCCACGCCCCAGCAAGCAGACTGCCCCTGGCAGCGGGAGCTCCGCGGGAGGCCCCCGCTCGCTCGCCCTCCTCTCACCGTGTGCATGTAGGGACAAAAATTAACTAAGCAGCTCCATTAATCAGAGTGACTGACTCACCACCTCTCTTGTGACACGGGTATGATGTTCAGGAACCACCATACCATTTTCTATAAAGAGATGCTTGCAAAGCCACAACTTTTTCTTCTGGATCTAGGTTTAAAGCAAGCATGTCTGAAACAACCTACAATTAGATTTTCACAGTTCTCTTCCACTCTCTCATGCCTAACTATGAGGACCATAAGTAGACCAGACAAACATTCATTCAAGTCAAACACCAACTCAAAGAGGTATTTGTTGCTCAGGCTGGCTGACTGCCTCCACCCAACCCTTCAAGAGTGGATACTACTTCTCACCCAGAGATACGCCAATCTTTACACCAAAAGTTGTCCTAAACAGCATGCAAATCATTGCAATGTGGCCACTTCCTATACCTCTTGTCAGAGTTGAAGGAAAATAATCAGACCACCTCGCCAACTGGTTACTAGTGGTCCCCACCAGTAACCAAAGTTATCCAGGCCACCCAAACCTGGGTCGGGGCTGCTGATTCTTCTAGACCTGTCAGCAGCCTTCGACATGGTCGATCACGAACTCCTGGACCACCGCCTTGCCGATGTGGGGATCCAGGGCACAGTCCTTCAATGGCTGCGCTCGTTTCTTTCTGGTCGGGGACAGAGGGTGGCGCTTGGGGGGGAATTGTCATCCCGCCACTCCTTGGTGTGTGCAGTGCCCCAGGGTGCGATACTCTCCCCAATGCTTTTTAACATCTTTATGCGCCCCCTTGCCCAGCTTGTCCGGAGTTTTGGGCTGGGCTGCCATCAGTATGCTGATGACACCCAACTCTATCTGTTGATGGATGGCCATCCTGACTCGGCCCCAGACACACTGATCAGATGCTTGGAAGCTGTGGCTGGATGGTTACGTGGGAGCCGGTTGAAGTTAAATCCTTTGAAGACAGAGGTCCTCTGGCTGGGACGGGACGATATGAGATTGAGGGGGCAACTCCCATCTCTTGCGGGGGTGCAATTAGTGCCAGCACCGTCCGTTAAGAGTTTGGGTGTAATCTTCGATACCTCCCTCTCCATGGAGGCGCAGATTGCAGCTATAACAAAGGCGGCATTTTTTCATCTCCGCCAAGCTAAGCAGTTGGCTCCTTACCTCTCTCGCCCTGACCTAGCCACTGTGATCCACGCGACGGTCACCTCCAGACTGGATTATTGTAACTCGCTCTACGTGGGGCTGCCCTTGAGACTGACCCAGAAACTCCAGCGGGTGCAGAATGCCGCAGCGAGACTCCTTACGGGGTCTTCGCTGCGAGATCACATTCATCCTGTGTTATACCAGCTGCACTGGCTCCCGGTGGAGTACAGGATCAGGTTTAAGGTGCTGGTTTTAACCTTCAAAGCCCTATACGGCTTAGGACCCTCGTACCTACGGGACCGCCTCTCCTGGTATGCCCCACAGAGGAACTTACGGTCCTCAAATAAAAACATCTTGAAGGTCCCAGGCCACAGAGAGGTTAGGCTGGCCTCAACTAGAGCCAGAGCTTTTTCGGCTGCGGCTCCAACCTGGTGGAACGCTCTGTCACAAGAGACAAGGGCCCTGCAGGACTTGACATCTTTTCGCAGGACCTGTAAGACAGAGCTGTTCCACCAGGCCTTTGGTCAGGGCACAGCCTGACTCCCTCCTTTGGCAATCTTTACAAAACTTTAGTTTATGGTTGCCATCAATTTGTATTTTAATTAATTTTTATAATGTTTTTATAATGTTGCACTGTTTTAGTGTTGTTAGCCGCCCTGAGCCCGGCTTCGGCTGGGGAGGGCGGGATATAAATAAAATTTATTATTATTAATTATTACCACAGTAGGGTGGAAGGAGCCATGCCTGAAGGATGTGGGAGATTCTTAGTGGGACAGGAGAGCTGGGGGGTGCGGGGGGCAGGAATTACATCTGGCAACCAATGAATCCCTTTGCTTCAGACAGTACATAGGTAGACAAGTCTAAAAAGCCCAGGACACAAATTTTCACAATCCTCTAGTGGTTATGATGGCTCATTTACCAGAAGTAACGTATTTAGCATTAACTTTGGAAGTGTATACTCTATTCTTACCAAACTAAGCCTCCTGGAGCAAAATATGTATCAGAAGGCTATTGCTTGCAAGCCTGTCTGAATCACTTGCGGCTTCGAGGTCACAGGCACGCTTGAGCCTTGCTAAACATCTCCTTTTCTTCTGGAGTCCGGATATACTGCTGTATCTGTCTAAAATGGGCTCATCCCCAGTGATAGCAGAATCTTCAAGGCTTAGCTCAGGAGTTCGTAGCCTCTTTGCTGGGTTCAAGACGCAAGGTGGGAGCAAAGGTTTCCGCTTGCTGAACTTCTGCTTCTCTCCTGAAAGGGAGGCCTCTTCTACTGTTGCAGCGCTCTCATCGATTAGCTGCAGTGGCGCAGCTGCTGAGTTTTCTAGGTCACGGTCTTCCGTAGTATCCACAATGCGGAAGGCAGCCTGTAGAAGCACACGGCGGTGCCATAGCAGGTCACCGATGTACTTTGCCACGCTCCGACAGTCCACTTTCAGCACTCGGAAGCTGTACGCCGGCTCCTTCGGCCAATAAAGCGAGACGAGCGCTGCAACCCCAGAGTCGGTCACGACTGGACCTAATGGCCAGGGGTCCCTTTACCTTTACCATTATTGTTATTACTACTACTAATATTATTATTATTAATTTAGTTTATATACCAGGGCTTTCAGGGCGGTTCAAAGAATAGTATCAACCTAACCAGTTGGAAATACCCACAGAATTGTTGATTTTTTTATCATTTACTAAGTATTAAAGTATATCAAATTCTATTCGAAAACCACAGTCACTGCCGGGATGTTAGAAGACATAATAGGACAAACAGTATGGAGAAGAGAGAAAAACAAAGTCTTTTTATTTCCCTCAAAATCAAGGTGTCTCCTAGCTTGAAGGCCTACCATACTCTCACATTTGAAAAGTATCATCATAAAATCAGTCTGAGGATTCTACAGTACAGCGTTACATTTCTGAAAAGAGCTACAAAGACTACCAGAGATTTGTGGGGGCTCTGTCTTCTGATATGCAGAATGCAGTTTTGATTAGGAGGGGAAGGAAACGTTCTCAAAGTACTCAGCTCAAATTACATAGGGCCTGATCCTGTCTTGTCATTGGAAACTACTGTATTTAAAGACTATTGGTAGGGGTGGGGTGTCACAGTTTGTCCAAAACTGGAGGGAGCCAGGATGTGGGGCTTGCGGTTTTTCCTCTCGCATTTGAAGCATCAACAGCATTTCCCTTAGAGTTTGGTGCTAAGAAAACACCTAGCACCACCAACACTTTTCTGGTGGCCTGGCAAGACTTGCCCCACAGCCATTCGCTAAACAAGTGCCTCATAATCGTTCTCTTGCTTTATTATATAAGGGGCAGCACAAGATATAATGCATAAGGTCCTCTACCTTCAGGACATCCCCTAATGCAAACACGTTCATTTATTGGTATGCCTCTGTGTCTCCCATCTCTGTAAGCAGAGTTTA